CAGTCTGCAAAGCAGGAATTCAGCAGGAAAATGAAAGCTGCAGAAAGAAAACCACCACAGTTGATTTAGAATACATATACTTTAGAAACCACGATTTCTAGATATGATTTAAGTAGTTATTTGTAATCATACAAATAACATTTTATCCCAGCAATTCATTTGTGAAAAACTAGGATTCATAATTTGAGAAATATGACTGTGTACTCTTAAGGATTAGAGCAGTACTTTAAAGCTCCTTATTTCATTAAAACAAAATCTATGAACAATCACCCTTCTTTGGGCTTCACTTTTATTTATTTATTTTGGCCGTGCTGGGTCTTAGCTGCAGCATGTGGGATCTTTGTTGCAGAATCTTTTAGTTGCAGCATGCAGACTGCTAGCCGCCGCATGCGTGCGGGATCCAGCTACCCGGACCAGGGATTGAACCCTGGCCCCCTGCATTGGGAGGGTGGATTCCCACCCACTGGGCCACCAGGGAAGTCCCTGGGCTTCACTTTTAGAAGATTTAAAAATCATCAAATCTCAGTTTAAAATGAATCTTAGTGTTTTAACTTTAGACACCAAATTGAAAATAACTGTTTTTAAACCTTTAGTCTTATAAATAATAGACTTTAAAGTTACAATAAATTCAAAGAAATGTTCTAGAGCCCGTAAAGGGTCAAATAGTAAATATTTTCTGAGGGCCATATAGTCTCTGTTGCAATTACTGAACTCTGCCACTGTAGTATGAAAGCTGCCTTGGACAAGAGACAAATGTGGCCTGGCTATGTCCAGTAAAAACTTACATAAATAGGTAGTTGGCTGTAGGTCATAGTTTGCCTACTTCTGCTCTAAGTAACAGGAAGCTATCAGAGGTTTATAAAGCATAACTGTGGCTGTGTTTCCATAAAACTGTATTTATGGACACTGCAATTTGAATTTTGTGTAACTGTCATGTGTCACAGCAATATCACTTTTCCTTTTCTTCCCACAAACATTTAACAATGTAAAAACTATTCTTATTTGGTGGACTGTACAAAAACAGGTAGTAGGAAGGATTGGCACAAGAGCAGTAGTTTGCTGACCCCTATTTAAGAAGTTAGTGCAATATGCCAGCAAATTGGTAGAGAAGGCAAAAATCAAATATGAACACGTCTTGCTTAGTTCTGGCATTTGATCCTGGGCAGGATAGGCAACTATCTCTCAAGCTAACAGTGTGACCCTGGTTAAGCTCTTACTACCTGCAATTCAATTTCTTCACATCTTAAAAGGTGGAATTAAGAGAACTTGTCTTATGAGGCCTAATAAGAATTGAAATGACATTTATAAACAACTAGTACAATTTCTTACACTCAGCAGTAGTAAATGCTAACCTGCTATATTTTATTTATTACCTTTGCCAAATTGATGCTTTAGGGAGAGAAAGAAATTTTAACAAGAAAAAAAAAGCCAAAGGAATGAATAACTTGTCACATTCATTTACTAATTTTCAGAAGACATGTAATTATGTAGAAGGCAAACAGCAAAAACTGAAATCAGTTACTTCTCGTGAGATGCTAGCATTACACGTTTAAAGAAAAATATAATTTGCTAATATAAAGAAGATTTTTTGAGCACTAACTTCGTGCCAGATGCTATTCTAAATGCTTTTCACGAATTACTTCACTTAATCTTAAGAATTCTGTGAGGCAGATAGGATTACTATGCCCTCTTTGCAGATATGTAAGTAAGGTTCAGTTAGGTTATGTAACTTGCTGCAGGTCACATAGATAAGTGGGGATGTAGCCTGGATTCCAACGGAACCAATTTTGCTTCAGATACTCTTTAACAGTTGAAAATATGAGGAAGAAAAAAATCACTAAATTATCATCTCGGAGAAAAACACTATTTTAGCTAAATGGAAAAGACTTGCCGCGTGTATTGACATATCCGAAATGAACGTATCTTTAAATCTAGAGAAAACATTTATGTTTAGTTTGAATAAGAGGGTCAGTGAAGGGAAATTATCCTGACTGCTGCTGCGGATCTCTGAAATAGGATTAGGACTCAGCCTGAGGGAATCTACACCCAGGAGTGGCTAGGAGGCCGCCAGCCAGAGTTGCCTAGGTTTGAGTTAAGGAGTTAAGACTTCCTAGCTGGGATACCTTGAGGGACTTAATCTCCTTGGGCCTCAATCATCTAAATGGGTAACACGAGGAGAATTAGAGAGCTAGGAAAAGCCATTTCAAAGGACTTGGTGAATTGGGACTTCCCTGGCGGTCCAGTGGTTAAGACTCTGCGCTTCCACTGCAGGGGGCCTGGATTCCATCCCTAGTCAGGGAACTTAGATACTGCATGCTGTGCAGCATTGCCAAAACAAAACAAAACACAAAGGACTTGGTAAATAAAATAAGGTAGAAACCAACTACAAAATGGGACTAAGTAATCTGCTAGAGACAAAGGATGCGTAATGAGAAAATATGCAATTTAGGTGCATGACCTAAAAAACCTTAAAAAAGCAGAGAGATGCAAAAAGGCCCTGACATCTTACAAAGCAGAGAAAGTGATAGATCCAATGTAAACCTCAGTTAAAACTGAAAAGCACGTGGCCAACCCTCACCTACTGCGATTAAAAATAAGAGGACAATCCCTACCTCCAAACCAGTTCCTACAGTTTCATCCAATTCCTGACAGTAATCCCCAAACCAAACCATAAATTTACTTTCCTGAAAAGCGGAGGAAACTTACCCACGGACCCAAGGCTATCCGGGTGCTCTCACTTAGACCATCGCTGCGCGCTCTGAGCCCACTCGCCCGCCGCGCGCCGGAAGTCGGCCGATGGGATCCGGCGCGCATGCCCCCCGCCCACCCGCCCGGCTTCGCTTCCCCATTGGTCGGTGTGGCCAGTGGGCCCCACCGCGAGGTAATCAGGAGTGATTCCCTCCCGCTCTCGGGCGCGGCCTGAACCTCCCCCAGAGCAAAGCTCCCAAGCCCTAGCGAGTTTACAATGTAACAGTGTAGTGTCAGGTGCCACGTAACGTCTCTTCGCTTCTTCCAGAGCCTCCTGAGCTCTGAGGAGGGGGAGCACCAAAATGCTTAACCCATGTTCAGCTAATTGTGTGTTGCTCACGAGTCAGGACTGACCAGCTACCGTGCAAAAGTCTCGTGACACGCCTGGCTCCTGACGAGATTAGAATGCACCAAGGTTTGAACACACGTGGTTCAGGACCTCTGGCCTAATGCTAAACCGAAAAAAAAAGCCGAGGCCAATAACAGGATGCCACGGGAGGCAGATGGCGGTAAAAACGTATTCTTCGTATGGGGGCAAGCGCTGATTAATGTTTTCCCGGATGGATCTCCCTGCCGAAACTCGGTGCCATCCGGAAACGTTGGAGGCCCCGGTCAAACACCATTTTGCCCTCCTTGATCCCTTTCCTCACGGAATTTAATCTAGGGTGTTTAGTGACCAAAATAAACCTCTTAAGGCCCCTAAACACGGCTGAAGACTGACAGCTTAAGCTGACAGTCGCCGCTAAAGAGACTTCTCCTGTAATGGCGCCTGCGTCAGTCACTAACATGGCGGACATAGTCGTGCGCGGCGCAAACGTCAGCAGCTCTACCCCAGACGCTCAGAAACAGCGGAGGAGAGTGGGGCCGTGCTCACTGATTGGTTCAGAGGCGGAGCGTACCGGACTGGGCGCTCCCCCAGGAGCCAATCAGAACGGCAAGAGACGGAATTGGCCGCTGCGCCTCCTCCCGAGGCATGCTGGGAGCCTGGAGGACTAGTGAGGAGGAGTTGAGAGAACGGAGCGGACGCCATGGCGACCAACATCGAGCAGATTTTTAGGTCTTTCGTGGTCAGTAAATTCCGGGAAATTCAACAGGAGCTTTCAAGGTAAACGCTTCCCAGGCTCTTCTGCTCCCAAGGGACCGATAGGGCCTCACGTAGACGTCCGTGGCACCTTTCTTCAGGGACGCTGTCGTTCCTCGTCTCAGGCCCGGCTACAGCCCCGCCTGGGCCTGGGATCCATTTTCCGGCCCCCCCCCCCATCCCCGTCCGCTCCCTCCCTTCCCAGCGAGGAACTTCGCCCTTTCCGAGGTAATCCCAGGTTCCCTCTTCTAGAACCGAGTTAGGAGGCTCAGGCTTCTCCCCCGTTTGGTCATCCCCTACCATTTAGCTACTGTAGGCCTGGTTGTCCACCAGGGACGGGCCTAGTTCCTTCCTCAGCTCCTCAGCCGCCGCGGCGCTTCCCCTCCCCCTCTCTGCCTCCGCGGATTTCGCCGGCCGGTGTCTTTGACCGGAAAGGGGTCTAACGGCCGTTTCTTGGGTAATCTTAAATCCGCTTTATTATTGCAAGCTTCAGACCATTTGGGGGTCGGGATCCTTTAATTAGATTATTTGGGTCCTACTGTTCTGTGGCTTCCACCAGGTAGCATTCTAATAGTTTAATAGATTGGAAATTTAAATTAAAACAGCTCAAATTAATGTTAGCTACTTTGACAGAATATTCGAGGTGAGCATGGAAGGGGACTTTGCATTAGTGATAATTTTTTTAATTTAGCAAGCGGAAAGTGGACTTCATGTGTAGCTCCAAATATTTTTGCCGACCCTGACCCAATTGACATATTTGACCAACACGCTACTTTTGTCATTGCTACTGATTTACCCTTGCTTCCCCACAATTTGAATGGGAAGAGATTTTCAAAGAAATACTTAATTACTCAGAAACGAAAATCGCGTGGGTCATGTTGTTGTTCAGTGATTGCCTTTTTGCTTTGTATAACGTAAATATTTGTTCCGAGTTCAAATGTATTGCTGGCTGTATTTTAGAAGTTGAGAGCAAGAACCAGACGTAACGTGAATTTGAAAATCAGCCGAAAACGCATTTGTAAACTGAGCG